AGAGAGATTCGATGATTCGGACATATACACAGCTTTAAATGTTTTTATACATACCTCAAGGTACCAGGCGGCTTGTGAACGCTACGATGGTGGGGCAGATGGAGCATCCCACAGGAGCGTGGGAAGGGGGGGGTGGTTCCTTTGCATACTCAGCGGTGGACCTGGAAGGAGACCAGAAGCACTTCCGGTCCACTTCTGGGTCTGCCATCTCCCTCCACCCCCCGGCTCGGCGACTGGTGCCTCCTGGGTCTAGGGGGGCACCCAGGGTCCTCCTATGGCTCCATCCGCCCCACCTTCTTAGGGTTCATGAGCCACACTTGGTACCTCGAGGTATGTAGAAAAAGCATTTAAAGCTGTGTCTATGGCTGAATCACTGATTCTCCAAATCAGCATTGAATCTTCAGATTTGGATTTGGCTGAAATGAATCAGGACAGTGATCCGAATCAACAAATTGAATCGCTGTCCCCCGAATTGGGCCGAATCTGAATTGAATATGGCCTGCTTCGCACACCCCTAGTAGCTATGCCATTGTATTGTTGGAACAGGGGAAGTACAGAGAAAAAATGAAATCTCCCTTAGTGTGTTCCAGAGACTCTATAGCACACCAAAAGGGTCCATAAAGGAGGCAGGATCATGCCTTGCTTTCTTTGCACACCAGCCATACAGTAAGTGAAGTAGGTTACATTATCCAAATTTGCTTCTGGTCAGCCCTTACGCTAGAGGGCTACAGGAGACCGGGAACTCCCCTAGTCCTGGCACTACTCAGGTCCCAGCAATAGAACTGGGATGGGGTAGCTCTCTGGCCCCCACTCTATTCTGTTGCTGCTCAGCTCTTGGCTGCCTACAGGAATCAGGAGCTGAGCAGCACCAGGACTCAGGTTCTCCCTGCTTTTCCATGCAGCTGGGAGCTGGCCAGGAACTGTCCATCCTGGGTCCCAGCCAGCTCTGGGTTGTGCAGGGAAGCTCTACTGGGTGCAGGGCTTGTCCCCATGTGCATGGATGTGGGGAGAACGCCTGCAGCAGCAGCTGTCTCCTGGTCCTGTGCACGTCAGGACCCCTCCCGATGTGTATGGGGCCAGGTGACAGCTGCCGCTATAGTTGGCAGAGCTCCCCTGGCCCTGTATTCATGGAGACTGGCCCCATGCTCCCTGCCAACCTGGCTAGCACCCGGAGGGAGCCATTAGGAGCAAATCTGCTCCCAAAAGTAGACATGTCCACTGCAAATTAATGTACAATATAATTTTAGACAAAAATCAAAATTGTTTTTAAATAAAAGATTTGATCACTGGCTTTCCATTAGCAACTGTGGTGACATATTTAAGTGAATGATTTGGGCTGAAATCCAGCAAAACACTTAAACACCAGTGTAAATCTAAGCATGGGAGCGCTGAAGTCTTTTCAGGGCTCAGGAATGGTTCTATGAGGTGCTGTACGCAGCCTTCACCCTGGATTAAATGAACTCCATCTACCATGATGTCAGGTGGGCCTACTTTCATGCTTAACAGTTAAACCTGTTTAAGGGCATTTGCTGGATCAGGGGCTTGGGACTCAAATGACCCTGATAATCCAAGTTTTCATTTCACAACAGCATTCCTAGCCATTTTCATTGCTGAAGTAGCCTTCTAAAATGGAAACTGACTTTAGTGCTGAAAGTTTGTCACTGTGACTTTCCTGTATATCTTGTGTCATATTTACCCTCCATAGAAGCTCCTGTACCCTTATGATAAATTTTTAATGTCACCCCCTTTCAAATTTTCCAAGTTACTCTTTCTATCCCGCTCGCAGAGTTTCCTTGCCGGGGGCTGGCCCGTCCTATCCTGCAAAACCTGTGGCTGCAGGGGGCCCCACAACTAAGTCTTCCCAGCATCCAGCCACTCGCCACCCCCCTCTGCCGACTCTGGCTTCATGTCCGGCCGCTTGCCACCCCTCTCCCCCCACCTCTGCCACTAACTTCTCTGGGGCAGGGGGCCACAAAGCTATTTCTTGCGGGGGGCCCCAAAAAATTGTGAGCCGGCCCTGTTTCTAGCCCAGATTGGGAGTTAATATACATATGCTTTTGGGCACTGAATGAAAGTACTAAAGGGCAGGTAACAAAGCCTTTACTCATCTTGGTGAGCAACTATTGGGCTAAACGGTTTTACTTGTGGGCATAATTGGTTGCTGGAGTGAGCAAGGAGGTCTCAGTCTGTCCCGAACTGTGAATGAAAAAGAGGATGAAGTGGCAATTTTGAGTTGTCTCCAAATGTTAACTCTGTTGTAATTATAGAGTAGCTCCCCCCCACACCATCTTTTGATATAGTGTCATTAAATTAATTAGAAAGCTTTTTGTAGAGTGGATGACTATGTATTTGTTCAGTCATCTGATTAATGTAACAAATTAACCTGTTGGACATTTATCCATATTTATTTCCTGCTTCTTTAGGTTATGCAATATCGATCTTTGAAATTGCCTTTGTGAAGATGAAGCTTTCAGAGACAGCACTCCATTTTGGACCCTACGTAGTCTGAGGGTGTCTTGGACTTTTCTACGTATTTGCATATTCCTAAACAAATTGGAGGACAATGAGGGCTTTTTGTTTTTTGCATATTTTCACACTCTTCAGTGAAGTTTCTTCCACCTCACTTTGTTCAATGGGAAAAACTTGAGCCAGTCTCATAGTAGCTGTGTTGTTTAACCAAGTTGTCCATACTGAGCCAAATCCTTAGAAATCATGTGCCATGTACAGTTATTTAATTTTTTTTCATTTCTGACTGAGAAATAAATCACTTTCAGCATATATTTGGCTATTTAGGGTTTGAACCTGGGTTTTTGCAGTATGAAATATTCCTATAGTCGTGCAATGAATTAACTTGTTTCACATTTTTGGGAAATGATTTTGTATGCATCAGAACATTTTTTATGGCGATACATGGCTCATTAATACAGCAGTTCAATATTATTAATATGAGGCATTGCATTAATTGCTGCATACAATTATTGCCAAATGACTTACACAGACAGTGTTTCAGATGTCGTCGGCATAATCATAACAACCAGAAGTGTCCTGTGTGCAAAGGAGAAAGTAAAATTCCTTTCTATGTTGATAGCAAGCAGATGAACTTGCTTGCGGTTTTGGAAGTAAGGACTGATCACCATGAAAGCTGGAATGGATTATTTTGCTTGAAGAAAGGAAAGCTATGCAGCTTAATATTTGGGTTGATTATAATGACTCTAGTGATGGCGTCATACATATTGACTGGAGCCAAACATGGCATGTTGCTAATACCATCGCCATTCCATTATGGAGCTTTTACCAACAATCCAAACTTAATGGACAACGAAAGCGTTAGTGATGTAAAAGACCATTACCAGCCTTGGAAAATTAATATTTCATATATAAAAGATTATCCAAGCATTAAATTAATTATTGAAACTATAACTTCAAAGATTGAGTTTATAACAAGACAGCGACCAGATTTAGAGGACCTGAAGAAACAAGAGCCTCATGTAAGTATATACTGAACTGTGTCTATTTCAAGTATTCTAGTCTAGCTCAACTGAAGTAAACCGGTATAGCATCACTGCAGGTGATATGTCACTTTGTACCAGCTGAGAAGCTGAAGCTTCCTGATCTACATTTGTTGAAGTTCTGGCCTTTATATATATATCATTTGTTTTGGGTGAAGAGCTGGATTGTATAAATGAGCTCAGTATCAAGAGCTGAGAAGTCTTCTATAATTATACAACTATACTGTGTTTATACCTGATTGTATTCAAAGTAATTCAGAGGAGTTAGGCAGATATGATGTAACAGATGCATAAAAAGTAGGCTTGTTAAATATGTAATTGTTATTATGCCTTCTTGGACATTTGGCAATTGGAGTTCTGGACAGTTGTGCAAATTTTGTATTTAAGAATTAGTTATGGGAAATACCTTATTCTGATAATTTCATTTTTGGCTAAATCAGTGTCCCTAATTATTATTCTCTATAAGCTCATTTTCAGGATCCCTAAAATTAAGTACAATGACAGATTTTGGCTTCTGCTGAAGAGTTTTGCTGTTCTCATGGCGCTGAGGTTAGGACCTATTTCTGGGAAGGGCAGAGTGCCTACAATTCCCATTAAAGATGAGCAAAAATCACAAAGTCTTTTACTTTCAAGTAAAGTCTGAAATGAGCCTTATCCCAGAATAAAGACTAAGTAAAACCTAAATAGTGAGTTCAGAATTGGTCTGAATTGAAGTTAGAGATGTTCTAGATTTTCTTTGTGTAGACTTAGTCAACTCTATCCAGAAGAAGCTGGTACAACTGTGGCCTTGTCCTCAGTCTTTCACTCTTACTTTTTATATAAGATTATTAGTTGGTGATTGGAATATACAGATCTGGCTTATTTTGTGTTCACTTGCTGTGCTGAGGAGGAAAGCGTAGCTGTACAATATGTTTTAACTGGAATTTGTTGTTCTTTATATTGCAGATGTTTTCAGTAATTCCTAATAAATTCCTTCCAAAAAGCAAGAATCCGTGTTGGTATGAAGAATACAGAGGAAACATTACTGCAAATCCTTACACAACAAACTCATATGCACTGTATTCAAAGCGTTTTCGAACCATATTCGATTACCTCAGAAAGGTGTTTTGGAACCACTTGTATCAGTATAAGGACAAACACTATCGACTGCGCTGTCTTCCCCATTTCTACATTATAGGCCAGCCAAAATGTGGAACAACAGATCTGTATGACAGACTGAGGTTACATCCTGATGTTAGATTCTCAGCAATTAAAGAACCACACTGGTGGACAAGAAAACGATTTGGTGAGTAAACATATATTCTAACATTACAGAAGAGCTAGCACTGCTAAAATGGAAGTTTAAATCTTCTTTCACATTCTTTAGTTTAAGAGTAACTCCTTCATTAAGCCAGATGACCTGATGGATGGCTGCATCCCTAGTATATCTCTTATCTGCTAATTGTGTTGTGCACTTGTAGCAACCAAGTTGCAGGTTCTTCTGTATATGTACAATAATACACATAAATATTTTTGGAATATTTGAGATGGAATTGTCTCATCCATTTTGTCCTAACTCTGCTTTTATTGAAGTCAATGTCGAGCGCCTTAGAAAAACCCCACCGGTGTTCTCCAGTCTTTGCCCCCCCCCGATAATTTTAAGGGGTAGATTTTCAAACTAATGTGCAAGGCCTTAACCATACAATATCATTGAATATACATTATCCTGTAAATTTTCCCCATTGTCAGAACAGGATAATTGATTATAGTATTCTTTACTCGGGAATTAAATCACCAGTAAACAGAAGTTCTGTAAATACCTGATAGAAAAGAGCTGTGGCTTGAGAAGCAATATAGCTAGGCTTCGGTGGTAATTAGATGGGGTAGGATCCCTATATGGTAGTCATCTTAAATAAAACTCTCTTATATTACATTACCACATTTTGGGGTAATGCAGCTTCCTAACAAGACTGATTACCTATGGTAATTTAAAGAACTGTAGTTGCTTCTAAGAGGGGTGGAACTGAACCTGAACAGCTGGCAAGGGCAGATTTGAAGAAGGAATAGAGAGTAAAATAGAAAATTTAAACAACAAAGTACTGTTTTGTACTATTAAGCTGTTTGTTCAAAGCCTCCTTGAATCCTTTGAAGAGGAGATGTATTATTTTTTAATAGTAGTCAGCTTTAATTCCCAAGAATGAATAAGTACAGCTTACAGCAGAAGTGTCATTCATAATCCTATCATCCTGATCAAAAGTTGAACTAACTTGATGTTCTCCTTCAGGAATTTTATGTGTACTGAATGTACCTGCATGAACTTCAGACGTCACCGCCTATCCTCTGGAACAATGTCAAGTCAGGAAGGGGACACTGCTGTCCAGTGCTCAGAAAGAGAGCTTCTGGAGGGGCTGGACGCATTCAAGTCAGCGGGTCCGGATGATCTCCACCCCAGGGTGTTGAGGGAGCTAGCTGGGGTTATTGCGGGGCCCCTGGCACGGCTCTATGAGCGATCGTGGTGCTTGGGCCAGGTGCCAGATGATTGGAAGGTAGCAAATGTGGTCCCCATCTTCAAGAAGGGGAAGAGGGAGGACCCGGGTAACTATAGGCC